TACATTGCACATTTAGTGTCAGCCTCATCTTTACTTTAGCTGACATCTCCAGAGACTCTAGAAGCTGGATGACTTGAATAATTTAAATTTGTTCCCATGGCAACCGTTTTCATTCTGTCATCATTACTTACTGTTCACCACAAGAGTTCTATTAGTCATATTTTGGCACGCCTTTAACTGAAAATCCATAAATTACTCATGTCAAGCCCTGATGTGTGGAATGCAGGGATGAATACCATTTCCTCTTGATCCTGCCCTGCACAAAGTCTAGACAGTGATGTTTTCTGACGCCTGGTATGTGATCACTTTGGCCTTTACTGCATTACAGTGGCAATTATGTAATAGTGTCTTATTGAGATTGATGGTGTTTTCTGCAAAGGCACAGAGTCAAAGCTACAGAGCAGTAGCAGCAGGGTGCAGAGTGCCATAATTCAGCCGTAATGCAGTAAACTGTCAGATGTACCGCTCTCACAGAGTACAAGATTCACCAGATTTACCTTCCCCACAGGGCACAAATGTTCGTACGCAATAGATTTAGTACAGGGATCATCAACAGTATCAGTTCCATGACCGCCGTAGGAATCCAGGGCAGTTTAAGCAACATCCAGACCAAAAATAGGATGTTCAGCACAGACTGACACAGGCACTGCTTTTCAACCCTGTATTGAGTTTAATCTTTGTGCAAGACTTTTGCACACCACACAGCAGAACTGTCTGAGAGAAACTTAGAACTGAGGTCAAAGAAAGTTTACCTATTGGATTGCTTTCAATTTTTAGAAATCGCTCCATTCAAATGGAACTGTAAAGGATGTATGTTAAATACATGTATGTTGTTACAGTATATTTTTTTCATGGAAATGTTTAACAATCTTTATACACCTCTTTTATAACAGTTGATTGTGACCGTGACTGTTAAAGGAATAGTTCACCCAAAAATGACAATTTGCTGAATATGTGCTCATACCTCAGGCCATCCAAGATGTAGAGTTTGTTTCTTCATCAGAACAGATTTGGAGAAATTTAGCGTTACCTCCCTTGCTCACCAATAGATCCTCTGCAGTGAATGGGTGCCATCAGAATAAGAATCCAAACAGCTGATGAAAACATCACAATAATCCACAAGTAAACCACATGACTCCAATCCATCAATATCTAGCAAAAAGATGCATGTTTGTAAGAAACAAATCCATCATTAAGATGTTTTTAACTGAATGACCTGAAAGTGAGTACATTTTCAGCAAATTTTAATTCTTAAGTGAGCTCCACATGACACCATTTTGGAGTTTAGCAGTGTAAAGACATCAGGTTTGGAATGACATAAGATTGAGTAAATTAAGTAGTTTCAATTTTAGTGAACTATCCCTTTAAATCCAAGTGCTTATCTGTATAGAAACATAAGGGCAGATTAGCTGCAGCAGTGACCTTTTGGTCCAATCAGTGTCTCAGCTTGGGACCATAGGGACAAAAAGAGCAGAGTGAGAGAGAAGAGGATCTGCTTCCTCACACTGTGAGCACCCAGCCTGTCACTCTTTGAAGCTTCTGCCTCCAGTGAACAAATTACAGCTGGAATTATGAAATATGCAGGCTCAACCTTTCCCTCTCCACTCAGTGAAGTAAGACAGGTGCTGAACTGCAGGTAAAGGTGAAACTGAATAAAATGACCTTTTTTTCTCCTGAAGAAGTTAAAGCTGGAAGCTACTGAAGTGGTAAAACTGTCAAAATGTATCTATTCTTTAAAAATATTATGATTCTTTTCAGTGCATAACAAATATAAAATGCTAAATTTAAAATACACTAGTTGCTCGCAATCTGTTCACCAAAACTGTATTTCTTTATTTGTTCTCTGGACCAAAAATTACATTTTAAGAATGTTTTTGACTTCACTGACTTTCTTTGTATGGGTGGGAAAAAAACAGACATTTTTCAAAATATCTTCATTTGTGATTTTTTATATTTGGGAAAACTGTCCCTTTAAAACAGCAAACGTATTCAAACTTAGGCAGAGTGTAAAACCAAGAAATCACACAGGTTCTGACTGATCATGATTTGGTTGGCAGCCTCCCATACTTCTCTCTATTGTTTCCTCTTCTAACTCTGCTGGTCTGTCCTATAAAGACAAAAAGCCCATAAAAATACATTTTAAAAGGACCAATAACATTAATAATAATATGGCATACCTATTGATGTTTGCTAATGATTCCACTGGGATTTATGCAGAAAATGGTGCTAAAAAAACAAACAATCCAATGGCTCAGGGTTTGTCTGAAAATTGTTTGCTTTGCTAAAAAAAAAAATGGCCAAATTAGATAGGAGGGGGGGGAAACTGCAAACAAACGCCAAAAATCTAGTTGGGCAGTAACTGAAACTTCTCCAGGGAATGAAAAGAGAGAATTTAGTTTCTATTCAGTTCATAAATTATGAGCTAAAATGTATGTGACATTTTGAACTGCTGGTGGTGCTAGAAAGTTATAGGGGTTGTCATAAACTCTACTGAAGAAAACAAAATAATAATAATATAAAAAAAAGGTGCCTACACACCTTTAGTGCTTGGCCCTTAAAGTGTACGGGTCCTCAAATTATTGCATCAATCGCTACATAATTCCTATTCCTCAAACTGTATTCTGCATGGATAATCAGACTTTACATTTTCAAAACACTTCAAACAAAGCAAATAACTAAAGGGATAGTCCACCCAACTAAATGAAAATTCTGTCATCATATACTCATCTTCAAGTTGTACCAAACCTGTATGAGTTTCTTTCTTCTGTGGAACATAAATTATTATATTTTAAAGAATGTTGGTAATTAAACAGTTGATGGTTCCCATTGACTTCCATATATGGAGAAAAAAATAGTATGGAAATCAGTGGGGACCATAAACTGAAATTCTTCAAAATATCTTTTTTTTTTTTTTTTTTCAGTAGAAGAAAAGACATTCATGCAGGTTTGGAACAACATGAGGGTGAGTAAATGATGGCAGAACTTTAATTTTTGGGTGAACTATCCCTTTAAGCTCAAACGCAGGTCAAATGCAACATGCATGCTGCACAAGCATGAAAATTAAAAAGGCCTAAAACATGATTTAGAAAATAAATTACAAAAAAAAAAGCAATTAACAGAAACTCATGCATTTATTTGCATATGCATTTTTAGGACAAACTGTGCTATTGCATTCTATTTAGAAATCAGTCAGGCATTTCCTTCAACAGTTCTTCTGTGTTTTTTTTTCCATTTTCAGCCACACACTGTGCTTTATTTAGCATTTCCCACCATACTGCTCTGCCATGTATCACATGAGTAAAGTATAGTGCCAGCTTTAACGAGTTCATTTGCTGGCACAGCAGCTGAGGGAATTGCAGGGACATCCGCATGGGCTTAGACCCCTGGCTCGCGTGCATGCGTGTGCGCGTTACATAATAGCGTAGTGATGTAATGCAGTTCCCTGAACATCAGCTTTGAGGTGTATCGTGCCGAGTGCTGCATTGCCCTTGCTCTCCACCTGACTCCTGCAGAATTCTTCACTTCACTCAGCGTGTGCCGCTACCATGGAGACCACCGCGTGACAGACACTTCTGTCCATTAGGTTCTCTCTATCCAAAGGTTGAGGATTATATATTTAATCCTCTCTGCCTGAAATTATATTCCAAATCTGGCCAATTGATGATTAACAGAAATGTGCTAGCTGGGATGTTTTGTTTGTTCCATTGCAAAGAGCTTCTGTCTGGGAATTCAGTGAACAATATTGTATAAGCAACACAAATCATGCTTCATATTATGAGCTTTTTAAAAAGGGTTTTTACATATAGCTTAAAGTAATTGAGTTTTGATGACTTTTTTTTTTTTTGCTGCTGTTCCTTTAAGATTCCAATGTAAGTGCCCTCTTTGCATGTGAAATGAGATATAGCTTTGCTGCAGCAACAAGCTGCTGGTTTGCTGTTGGTGCCAATATAGATTCAGCAGCCCCATATTTCAATAACAGACCTTTTGGCAAAGCTGCATTACATTATGAGAGATTTATAAAACAATCTGTTGAAATGACCAGGCTTCAACTGTTAGTTTCTAAGGCTCCGGTATATATACAGTATATATACAGTATATATATATATATATATATTTTTTATTTTTTTGAAAGACTCAGAAATAGCAAATTCCAACAGATTCCAGGTTTTTAGCATGCTCAGCTTCATCATCAGAGCCACAGGGCTTCCCAAACCCCATTGCATAATCACACAGTCCTCTTTACATAAGGTCAGGTCTGAATCTTCATGAATCTCTTCATGAGCCTTCATTTCAAGCACTCTTTATGTCATGTGTCAAATCAGTTCAACAATGCAAAAGACTCTCTGCCGCAGAAATCACATACAAAAGTATATGAGGAGTAAAATAAATGGACAGGGCTTCATTTACTAAAGTTGTGTGACTATTGATTTTGCACACTTTGACTAATAACTTCATGGATTGATTTAATAGCACTGCAGTTTTGTGAAGTTGGCTTTAATATACTTTACATAAATGCGGATGCAGATTATCAGAATCAGAATCAGAATGAGCTTTATTGCCAGGTCCCAAAAAAAAAAAACACCTCGTGTAGTCCAAAAAAATTGGACTACACTCAGTCCAATTTTATGAGTGTAAAATTAAATGTCGATTGCATATCCTGCCATGATGATCCTATGTCTTTCTCTGGCACTGTAAAGGGAAATCTCATTTGGCTATCGTGCAGAGGGTCAATAATGAAGGAGAAGGAGATCCTTTCTACGAAGTCATGGGCATCGTCACTCTGGAAGACGTCATCGAGGAAATCATCAAGTCTGAGATTGTGGATGAAACGGACCTCTACAGTAGGTGTTTAATATTTCTGTTCTTTAAATCTGGTTTTTTGATCTTCTCATCTTTCAATAATCAAACTTCAGATGAACATTCAAACGTTCAAACACCTAAAAGTTATCAAATCAGTCCAGTGGTGCGTTAAGGGGAAGTCGTGGCCTAATGGTTAGAGAGTCGGACTCGTAACTCAACCGAACCCCCAACTGCTCCCCGGGCGCCGCAGCAAAAATGGCTGCCCACTGCCTTGGGTGTGAGTTCACGGTGTGTGTGTGTGTGTTCACTGCTGTGTGTGTGCACTTTGGATGGGATAAATGCAGAGCACTAACTCCGAGTATGGGTCACCATACTTGGCCACATGTCACATATCACGTCACTTTATTAGTGGAATATTTCCTCCACACAGCCATAACAGAACTGAGTTTGTCTGAGTGAAAACCTGCCCTGATTCCTGCTGCTTCCGCATAGTCGATAACACTGTGACCCTGTTGCAAATAATTTTCAAACTAATTGGATTCCAGAACTCTGTGTGTTATTGTCTTCTGGCAAAGCCTGTTCTCTGCAATTATCAATTCATTTTTAACCATGATTTACAGTGCTAACATATTGGAGGAGACTGGGGTTAGTTGTCACACGTTTTACTGTGAATATTTTGTAAGTTAGCTTGAAAAGTAAATTGATTTCTGTATAGACATTTACCTTAACGTCTTGTATATTAAAGTATCAAAAAGTTATGGTAGTTTAAATTTACTGTAAAGAAAATGCACTATATTAATTTTATTTTATTTTATATATAATAAATATTTTACATAACAGGTTTTACTCTAAAATTGGTATAAAATTAAAGCCTTATATCTAAATAAGTTATGTTCCAAATTTGAAGTTGATATGAAAAAAAATTGAGGTTCCTGTGAGATTTTATTTAGGGCGTTATACCACAAACAGCCACCGGGTGCCATCCAAACTCTATTAAATTTTACAATTAAATTAAAAAGTTTTGATTGTAAAAGAGCATAATGCATTTTGTAATATGACACTTGACACCGCCCACTAAGGGGGAGGAGACTGCCAAAAGATTTTAAAGTACCATTTCCATGGTAACGCAATGTCCGATTTCAAAATGGTTTTCACAGGATGAATCTTGGGCTTCTAAGCTTTCAGATGATATATTTATGATGATTATAGATTTATGATGATTACTAGAAGATTTGATAGAGAAAACGGACAACAAAAAAAGAGTGCCAAGCGTCCCACAGGTGGGACGGTGACAGTTATAGTCAATTATAGTAATATATTCTACAGAAGCAGAAAATTTTTTTTTTGATCCAACTTGTATACCATTAAAACGGGTTTTAGTTTAAATACTACAAAAAACAATACTGTTATGTTGAAGTTAAAACTGTATATTTATTTAAAAAAATTAATTAACTATGTGAATGAAAAATGTAATAATTAATTATTGGAAATGGCAATAATGGACACCTTGCAATATGACTGTGCAATAAAACTTCTGGAATTATATTAAAAACAAACAATCCTTAATTCTAAGAAAATTGTTGTGCAAGTCAATCAAAGTGCATTTAAATCTTTTTGGCATATTTAGTGTTGTTATGTATGTATTTATTACGTATGACTAATCATTTTATTAGCCTATAATAAGTCAAATATGTATACAAAAAAAGTGTATTATATTCAACTGAATTATCTTGAGTGAAATACTGTATAAATTGCCTGGAGTTAAATATTACAGTTTTCTTTTAACCTTTTATTGTCTGTATTTTGTATTTTAAGCATATTTTCTATAGTCTCATTCACTTGTTATTGGTTTGAGGTAAAGCTTATCCAGTATAATGTATTGCTGTTTTGTTGTGGCAGCTGATAACCGTACGAAGAGACGAGTATCTCACCATGAGAGGAAACAGCAAGACTTCTCCATATTTAAACTGTCAGAGAGTGAAATGAAGGTCAAAGTTTCACCACAGCTTCTGCTTGCAACACATCGCTTTCTAGCAACAGGTAATCTCAATTCACAATTGTGGGAGAGTCTCAAATATCAATTCAGACAGTTTTGGATTAGTCGAATTTGAAGTTTTAAGAAACTGAAAATTGTTTTAGGTTTATAACATAAAATTCAGGACCAAAAGGATGTGTTCACATTCATTTGACAATCTAATGTATCTACTCATTTGGTGCAGCATTGCAAATCATCGTCAGATGATGAAGGATCAGAATGCTGTTTCATTGTCAATATCATTAATGTGTTTCTTATTCTCTCCGTTCCCTTTCTGTCGGTAGAAGTAGAGCCTTTTAAGTCGACGCATCTCTCAGAGAAGATCCTCCTGCGATTGATAAAGCACCCGAGCGTGGTGCAGGAACTCAAGTTTGATGAGAAAAACAAGCGATCACCAAAGCACTACCTCTTCCAGCGCAACAAGCCTGTGGATTATTTCATCCTCATACTGCAGGTAAAGTACTACAAGTTTTAAAAGACATTCTGAAATGCATTATAAATAAATAAAAATATATTCTGAAATTATATATATATATATATATATATATATAATTTATATAATTATTATTATTATTTTTTTTTTATAAACGTGTTCAAACTGTTATGCAGATAAATTAATTGATAACATATGACATTATTGCAGAATTCCAAATAAAAGCTTTTTCACTATTGGACTCCATATACATTCAGTTTTCATAATTGTGAACTGAGCAAAATAAATGATTTTATTAAATACTAGAAACATTAATATTTTCTAGTAACTGTTATGCTAATCCATTAATTTATGACAAAATCATTTAATTTATGACAAAATTATATTACTTTCATGAAATACAAAATAAAAGCTTTTTTTTTATTGGAACCCATTGTACGAACAGAAATGTAATTTTCCTCATTTTTCATTATTGCAAACTGAGGAAAACAAATAATTTGATTAAATAATAAAAAAATACAAAACAAACGTGTTAAAATTGTAATGCTAATCGATTAATTTGTGACAACATATTGTCATTCATGACAAAATTATATTAAATGCAAAATAAAAGCATTTTCACTATTGGACCACACTGTAAGTGGAGAAAATGTTTATTTTTCTCAGTTTTCATAATTGAAAACTCGATTTCAAAGCTCTCAACAATAAAAATGTCTGAACCATCTCTCTCTGGCTGCAGGGTCGAGTGGAGGTAGAGATCGGTAAAGAGGGACTAAAGTTTGAAAACGGGCCGTTCACATACTACGGCTTACCTGCCATTATGACCATCCTACCCACAGGTTTGTTTGCTGCTTTAATATTGTCAGAATTCATCACTGGAGGTGAACAGAGCCTCATTAAATAAATCAACTTTCCAGAATATCTCAGTTTTCCTGCAGTACAAATCTTAATGAGCAATTAAAAACTCGGAGAGGGGTTGAGCGCGGAGCATAGGCCTACGTGACCCCTCTAGCAACGCTCTCCAGAGATAATTAAGACAGCAAATCTAAATAGAGCGGCTATGTAAATCTTAGGAGAGTAGAGTCGGGTAATTACAGTGGGAGAGAAACTCTCATCTGCCCACTCAGGCAAAATGGCATGTTATTATATAAGGATGAAAATCTCATAAGCTTAGCTTCATGAAAATGCAAAAATAACTTAAAGAATGGAGCCTTTAGCCCTAGTTGAAGAGATTAATTCAGAATGAATGTGTGTTAAATGTAAGCCAAGTGTCTGTGTCATAGTCTCTCTCTTGTGAGGGGTTTCTCTGCATCTCTCTGTGATATAAAGACATAAAGAAAAGCCACACCACAGATGCAAACAGGTATACTCCATCCAGGACCTCAGCATTTACTAATGAGATATGACATCTACATGCACACAGAGAGAGTCTGTGTATGGCATATGGTTTTTTGCTCTCATAATCACAATTACTAAAAGGTTTTTCCACTGTTCAGCACTGCATGTCCTATTTTTAACATGTATTTTTGCCAAATTTTACAAGTTAAAATGGCTAAAAATCCACTGGAAAAAATACATTTACTTTGAGAAGCAATATATACAGGTGCATCTCAATAAATTAGAATTAGTTAATTTGAGTAATTCAACTCAAATTGTGAAACTCGTGCATTAAATAAATTCAGAGTTTCACAATTTGAGTTGAATTACTGAAATAAATGAACTTTTCCACGACATTCTCATTTATTGAGATGCACCTGTAGATGTAGATAATATAGGCTTCTTTCCAGAGAATGTATCTTTAATAGAACATTTTGTCTTAAATGTTTCAAATATTTTATGCACAAACATTAAAAAACCAACTGATAAAAATAAGCAAAAAATCTGCCAAACATACAGTACAGAAGACAAAATAAACCTAAATTCAGGATACAATGTATGAAAACAAATCAGTGTTTTAATTCAAGTACACCCATTTTGGTTGGATATATTTATTAAAAAATTATATAAAAGCCCGGTTTTGCAGTGAATAAGTAAGTCCAATCAAATTGAGTCCATTTAGCTGAATTTTTGAATATATAAGTGCATTTACTTCAAAAGTGTATTGAATTAATTTTAAAAGCACACTTAGGTTTTTTTTTCATTAAAAAGAAGTATACCTTTAAAAATTGATACTACTATCTAAAAATACATCTAAAATAATGTCTGCACTAGTATAAATAAGTGAAACTATTTCTACATAAGTACAACTATTTTGGTTCAAGGATTTTAGATATTTTAATTAAAAAAAAAACTCATTAAGAGGTCACTTTTGCAGTGAATAAACAAGTCCAATCAAGTTGTGTACATTTGGCTGAATTTTTTAATAAGTAGTCTATCTCAACATATCAGTATATATACGTAGACTCTCAATAGCCTGAGGAAAGAAAAAGTAAATATCTGTGGCAATAATTAAAGCAATAATAAGCTGAATGACTTCTACTGGTTGTGATCCAGTCCACAGATCACCGTCCCGGAGCAGCGGTCTCAATCATTCGGATACTACAATCCATGGAGGCAGTCTGGGTCAACTGAGCATCAGCGGAGGACCGTATTTACCAGACTATTCAGTTCGCCAGCTCACAGACCTACAGATCATTAAGGTAAATTTGACTATTCTGAGAGAGAGAGAGAGAGAGAGAGAGAGAGAGAGAGAGAGAGAGCGAGAGAGCGAGAGAGAGACACTGTTTTTCAGACAGCTGGATGAGGGGAAAAGTTAAAAAAAATCTGGGTCATATTATGGTTCACATAACCCAATATCAAAAGAAATGAATAGTATCGAAATTTTATTTAATTTAAAGATCATTAAAGTTTTTAACCTAAATTCTCTATACTGTAATGCTATAAAAATAGATTTTTTTTCTCATTATAGTAATGTAAATAATCCTGTCTAGATACAATATTTTTAAAATTATTTTCATTAATGAAATACATAATTTATGTTTTTAAATTAATCCATTTTGATTTTATTAAAAAAATATTTATCGGCATTAAATTCAGTCAAATATGACCATGATGTATACTTACAATTGTGCAATCCATTTAAATAATATTAATGACAATTAATAATTTATATTTTTGTTTTAACATTTTTTTTTTATTTTTGCATGAATATATATATTTAAAAAACAATATAAGTGCATTTGATTAATTTTTAAAAAATCATAAATTGTTATTTAAATATATAATATAATTTTAATATAATATAGTTAGACATAATGCAACATTTACTTTTGCCCCATGGCCCACAAGCACGTTTGATTTTCGGCCTTTCTTATTAAGTAGTTTGGGCACCTCTGATAAATATAAATTTCAAACAAACAACCATTTATTTATCTATTTATTTGTTTATATTTTTATTTATAATTGATTTTGAAGTGGAATATGACCCAGGTCCAGTTTTTGTGAGGCTGATCCAAAAAACTCCTATCAAGTTTTTATTTCCTGTGTTCTCTAGTTTTGCTTCAAAAGTGCTAATGCAAATACTTTTTAAAAAATCATAAATAATGCTTATGTAAATAATAACAAATATTCTAATGCTATGTGTTAGAAATCATATAGAATTATGAGATGCGTACTGTAATGTGTCTCTTTATGTTATGTCATTCTTTCCAGATCACTCGTAACCATTATGAGAACGCCCTGACAGCTACACGCATGGACAGCTCTCCACAAACACCCGACGCAGACAGTCAAGTGCCCGGGGAGAGAATGACAATCCCTGAGACGCGTTCCAACAGCATCGCCCTTCCTCTGACAGAACCACGGCCCTGTCTGACCCGATTCCACCAGCACAGCCACCTCTACAGACAGCCAGACAGCACCAGCACCCTTAATGAGAGAAACCGTATCGTCCGTGAGTGCACTCGCTTCTCATTTATAGCATCTTTCTGGGGTTCTCTCATTTTTCAGGCAGCAGGTAAATATTAAAACAATTTGACATGAAAGCACTGAAGTAGGTTTCCTCAGGAGTTAGGAAACAGTCGGAAAAGCTTTATATGACAGACCATTTGAGCTCATCTCCAAAGGCTTCTGATCTTTTCTGAAGTTGAGAGTGATTGCAAAACAACTGTGTCAAGCCACTGTTTGAGGAACACCAAAAGAGTTGTCTGAATATACCTAAATATAACTATAACATATCAATGTCAGTCATTTTAATCTTTGTGGAAACCGAGGATGCAGATAATGCATGTTGGTGATACATGTGATGGAATTAGGACGTTTCTCACAGCTTCCAAGTGCAAGACAAGACAGATGGCCGAACTCTAATCCTCTTACTAAAACTAATCAGACTTTGTGTGAAAAGGTTTAACTCTGAGTCTTAAGTTAGAAATCACTTATACATGTCAAAACACAACCAAGCTGAGTTTCCTTTAATTAATGAGGCCTGTCCTATAAGTACTATACACAGGATCAAATGCAGGTTAATCAAATTACACTGTCGAACATTATCATATCAATGTTTGCATAGATATCAAATGCTACTGTAAATATCCAATGCACTTTGCATGCAGTACAGATTGAAACTTGAGATATGACAGCAGTTCCACAATCAGAGTTTGAAATCAAAATGTTTTGGCTCAAGTTTGCTAGCTTGAACTTGAGGTCAAGTGTATTCATAAAAACAGCCCAAACATTAAAAACATTTCCTGGACTAAAAATATTGCATAATCTTTAATATAATTGAATGTATACTTTAAATTTAATTTACATTTTTTTCATTTAAATAATAGTATAAATGCTAATTATATAAGATATTCTAATATATGCCATGTGTATATGTAATATATATATATATAAGATAATGTGAAATTTGGGGTGTTCTCTAGTTTCGCTCTATTTTTGTCCAGTAAATATGAAGATATCTTTTCAGTCTGAATTATACATAAATCCCACATGCCACCAACTGAATGATATAACAACAATCAGACAGCAGCAAAAATACAAAATAAGCAAAGATTTTGACGGTTTACCGGCTACATCCTAATGATGACCGAGGGCCTGTTCATCTTCAGAATCTTCTCCCTCAAGTAGGGCTATAGTCGTATTCCAAAAACAAAAGCAGAATCATTTTCTTGTTGTGAGAAATAGTCCACAATTCATTGTAAAGGGTCTTCATTGCTTTCATCCTCAGTAAGAACTGTGGTTAATCTCAGGTTGTTATGAATATTAAAGGCTACTAACTGTTTTAAAAAAAGGTCTTCAATACATCCCACCCCAACTTCCTGATTCAATAGGAAATGTTGCTGAATTGAGAATTGCATACTAGCTTTATATGGCAGAAACAGTAAGAGTAGTATGCTAGTATGCTGTTTCAATGTCAACACAGGTCAGAAAATTGTGTTTCCCAAATCACTCAAAGCTTTAAATGTCTTTGATTGCTCATAGTTTTGTAATCAGATACTCCTGCATAGTGCTACAAACTCAGTATTTCCTGTGTGATCAGCTGACTGTGGTTCTCTGGCTCCCCCTGTAGGAAGTAAGTCAGATGGACAGAAGAGCCCCAGTGACTCTGTGTTCCTTCGTATGGATGACACCCCATATATAAGAGACAATCACTTGGAGAGAAAAGAAGGAACTGGTGGGTGAATTGAAGGATGATTTCTGAAGCCAAACCATGATCTTATGCACCAATGTTTACCTCATTAAGTCCAAAAATGAATTTAAAAGCTGCTAAAAGTCCAATCAAACGAAGCAACTGGGCATTAGGCGAACATAAATCACTGCAGAAACTGTACTTTTTGAAATACAAAAATTAATAGTTCACCAAAAATAAAAATTATTTTAATTACATTTGTACATTTTAAATGTAATTTATTTATTCACCCTCATGGCATTTCAAACCTGGATGCAGTCCATGGAAAATTTTAGAAGAACATTCTTTTTTTTTTTCACTACAACTACTCATAGTGACTATGTATATTATTTTCAAAGTCATTTTACATTGTTGCGATACTCAGACAATGCTATCATATGATTTCAGAGCTTCAGAATCATTTTTAATACTGTAGTTGCATGGACTACTTTTACAATACTTTCATGCAGTAGAAGACTCCTAAAGATTCTTCAAAATAACAGTGTGTATCTGTGTTTGTCTTAAACAGAAAAAAAGTAACAGCACACAGGTTAGAAAATGACTTGAGGGTGAGTAAATAATGACAAAATGTTCATTTTTGGGTGAACTATCCCTTTAAGAAGGGTGGTGGTCTGTTCTCTGACTAAATGCACCCAAACTTTCAAACATTGGAGCGGCTGTTTGACAGCGAACGGGACATTTGACAGACTGCAGGGAGAGGAAATGCATGAGCTGTATAGACTCTGTTTATACGACCTGCAAAGGAATGTTGACATCAGACTAAAACTGTCCATTTCAGCTCTGCTTGTTATGACTGGAGGTTAACAGGAATGACTAAATCAAGAATCAATTAAGAAGAGAAGAGAAGAGAAGAGAAGAGAAGAGAAGAGAAGAGACTAGCCAATGACTTTTCAGCTCAGTTTGTCATGTGATCATGGCCCATTGTCATAGTGTGCCCAATCTATTTCAGATGCAACAGCCGTACCCATGGAGACGGACCTGTCTACATCCCAGCTCATCAGCTCTCACTCTCTGGGCGGCTCGGATGAGAACCTGGGGAAAAAACTGCTCCGGAAGCTCAGTGTGTGTCAGTTGCCAAGCATCTGACTGAATCACAAATTTGTGAATCTCACCCGTTATGACACGACACCTGCGTTTACAGCTGCACAAACACACACACACCTGCTTTTATTCTGCATCTTCAAACTCCATCTGTTTCCTAGCAACCAGCCAGGCAAACTGCAGCCCACACACCTGTTTAATAAAAAATGACAAGTCACTCAGAACAATGTGATTTACACAAGTAGGACATATTTCTGGGTCTGCAGCCTTTGTTGCTCCTGGAAAAACATTTGATCAAGAAATCATTCCTGCTGTTAAAAAAATGTGTGGGAGGTTGGTGCTCCGGCAAAGCTTCTTGACTAGCCTAACCAACTAGACTTACTTAGTCAACAATCATCGATTCAGTAATGTTCCATACTTACATTCATGCATTTGGTAGACACTTACAGCAATTCAAAATGTATTTGGAGTATATACCTCACTGGGAATCAAACTTATAACTTATAAAGTTAAATTCAATGTGTGATAAAAGCTAAATGTTTTAATGTTTAAATTTAATGTGTTTTCAATATACTTTCAACTTTCTGTATATACATATAAAACCTTGAAACAAAAAATAATGAATAATAATAAGTATCATTTATTATTGTTATTATTTATTTATTTTACAATCTGTTCTTTATTTATTGTCTAAAAAAACCTTGAAATTCTTTTTAACAATTTTTCAAACATGATTAATGTTAGTGTATATAAATTTAAGTTGTACATTTACAATATATTAATTTAAATTCCAGTAAATATAGAAAATATATGATATTTAATTTTGAAATTTGTTTTATTCCAAATATGCCTTTGTCAAGCTACCAAAGTATTTACAAGCCTTACTCTCAAAAAAATTTAATAAAAAAAAAAAATAAATAAATAAAAATAGTTACAGTATGTGAATTTCAGTTGATTTTAATTCTACTTAAATTGAAATTCAAATTGCAATTATGCATCCTGTTTCAGTTCAAATGTATTTCAAATTCAGGACTTGCATTGAAATATTAAAGGCATTCTTAATTAAATTCTGAATGGTGCACAAACCTGTCAGAAACATGTCCTGCTTGCTAAATCACGGTACTCATCAATCAGACATTTTCATCATTTGTTCATACTTATTCATCAGTTAGCAGCTTTTTTATTTAAAATATTCCGGTCGGTTCAAAACTAGGGATTTTACATTTTACACTTTCTACTCTCCAGGCAACAAAAAAAGAAAGAAGTCTCGTGATGGAGATAAACCTTTGGAAGACAATCCTGAACAATCACAGGTGAAGACCTAGCATTCATTGTATGGGTTTGCTTCTCTCTTGCTCTCTCACCTGCTTCTCCCACAAATGTGAAATCTTCTCCAGCCTTCCTCTGGATCATGAGTGAGAGAAAGCACAACCCATTGTACAATGACCATCACAACAGATGTAGCATCAGAAAACCTTGCCTTCAGCATTGCAACGGGCTGGACAACCTGCAAAATATAACAAACCGGAAATGTACAACATGCAGCAAGACACATGTTTTTTTAATTGACGAGATGCTACGTAACCGTTGATATACTACAGTTTTGATGACGGTTTATGATGATGTCATCTCCAGTCACTGTGGTAATGACATTCTGACCTCTGACCCCGGGCAAAGCCAGCAAGCACAAGCCTGGAGACCTGAAGCCAACCATTTGACCAATGCGAGGGCAGAACCTTTAGTATGGTCATCTTTCAGTAGAATTATCCTGAAACAAAGTGTTTATTGTGTGATTTTATATCATATTAAGTGAGAGGTATTTGTCAGGCTGTGCCTGGAACTCAATCAAGATATCAGAGCACTTAGAGACAGATCAGACCCATTTATTTCATATTCTGTTGAATAGCAGAGGAGTTGACAGAGAAAAAATACCTATATTAGGTAAGTGGTGTCAGAATCTTTTTTTTTTTTCTATTTTCTCTTTTCAAAAGAACTAATATTTTAGGTTTATTTCTTATCATTTTGCTTTTATTTTTGCACTTCTTGTTCGGCTGAGAGAACAGGGTACAAAGAGATATGGCTTTTTTTTGTTCTTTTTAGCTATTTTAGGCCATATTTGAATAGTTTTAAATAGTCCGAGATGCCAGTGCTAGTGGTCCAAGCACATGTATTTGACAACAGATTTATTTATTTAAAAATAAGATTTATTATATCTGCATGCTTTTCTCAAACAGCAGTATTATTATTGTTATTAGAACAGCATTGTGCTTACTGTATAAAATATAGTTAGGATATGCGCAAGCCATAACTTAAACAAACTTGAAGCATTGATACTAAAATGTCACCTCAGATATATATATATACAGTATGTGTGTGTGTGTGTGTGTGTGTGTATATGTGAGTGTGTGTGTGTGTGTGTGTAAAAAATCATAAGCAATATCCAAAACATGCAAGAAGCCTATAGTATTATGTTTTTGAGCCCTTGTGAAACTGAAAACTATAGAATACTTAGTAATTTTACTGCAAGAGGCTGAAAATCTCGTTTCCTTTCATAAAGCATGCTGCTATGTGAATTTCATCTTCAAGCTTCATACCTCCTGTAAATTAGAACCTTTTTAAAATGCCATTCATACTACCATTCAAAAGTTTGGTGTCAGTAAGGTTTTTTAAAGCAATTAATTATTTAGCAAGAATGCTTTGAATTGATAAAAAAAAGTGGCAGGAAAGACATTTATCATGTCACGAAAAATTCTATTTGAAATCAATGCTGTTTATTCTAACTTTCTATTCATCAAAGAATCCTTGAAAAAAGTCAGTTTTTCCACAAAAAAAACTTTTTTTCAACATTAATAATAATAAGAAACATTTCTTGATCAAATCAGCATATTAGATTGATTTCTGAAGGATCGTGTGACACTGAAGACTGGAGTAATGATGCTGAAAATCCTTTGCATCACAGGAATAAATTACATTTTTAAATATTTACAGAGAAAATTGTTCATTTTAAATTGTGATAATATTTCTTCTAATACAGTTTTTACTGTATTTTCAATCAAATAAATGCATCCTTGATGGGTATAAGAGAGTTTTTCATAAACACAAAATCTTACTGACCGCAAACTTCAAACTAAAACCTAAATATCAGAAGAATATCTGAGCTGCCATTACTGGTTCACTGCCATGACTTTCCCAGCATGCCGTAATCATGACAAACTAACCAATCAGCTCATCCCTGCCAACAACAGGTCACATGATTACATTATGCCAGGGGATTATACCTAGAATGTGTTTTGCATGAAAGGCTGTTTTTACTGAGTATGTCGAGTTAATACCTATCTCCTGCACGCATGCAACAGACACTGGTGATATATAGAGACTGTTGGGCCACAAGTGAGACTCTTTTTGCCTCTATGCTAACAGTGACCTACCACACCACCGGGTAGTCGAACACAGAAAGCACAAAGACTCAGGCTGGAAACCACTGGATGTCTGTTTCTTTCCCCTTGATAATTATTCCTAATATTTAATAGCAATAACCAAGCTAGCCCCTTTTATAAAGTTGCTTTGCATCTTGATGGTCTGGTCTGGAGTAAACTGAATGTGTCTGCTTGCGTTCAGGCCACATGGACACTTTGTATTGTGCAATACTGTGCGCTAAAACCACTGTACGAAGAGCACATGCTGACAGAGAGAAAGAAAGAAAGAAAGAAAGGGGGGCAGCACTTTTTAACGTCACGGTGCTGCATTGCAGAGTGGACTGAGTGACGCATGCTGACGCCTGGATCAACCCCTCCAAACAAACACATGACTGACTCAGCTGCTTTTGATGAGAAATCCACTGTATATTTAAGCACGTGTATATTTAAGCCTTAAACTGAGGGTATTTGTTAAAGACGTTTAGAAAATCCTCTGCAGCGCTCGCTCTCTGTTCATTGAGTCGGCCGAAAGATAGATATATGTTTCTACAGAGTTTACAAAGACTTCTATTTGAAAACACCTGAAGAATTGTGTATGACTTTACAAAAAATGTTGCTCTGATTATATAAGAACAT